GAGAACCCGGCGTGCTCCGTCCCGGCTTTGTAGGGATGCGAGGTCAATGGTCTAACGACTACGGCATGCACGACTATGAGTACAACCCCCCCCGCTCCCCCGCAAACAAAAGAAATGAGAAAATAAGGAGGTGTAGTAAAGTATGCACTGTGGTGGTGGCGATAGTAGCAATAATCGCAGCCTCACTTGCCACTTGGCGTTCATTCTTTCTTGAGGTCCAGCCGGGCGTCGGAATACGGAAGTCCCCTGGTCACAGAGACCAATACGTATATATATATATATATTTTTTTAACAACACGAACAACAGCTAGCCAAAAAGCTCTCAAATGACGATGATGTGATGTCATGCCCAGCCCCTCTGATTTTTTGTTCCGATACAGGCCGTTCCCCCCCCCCAATCCCTCCCACACGCACGCATACTTGTGATAAGAAAGCATTATTGTTTCTTGTCCCGCGACAAGACTGATATATTTTCATTACATTCAGCCGCCGTCGATGCTCATTGAAAAAACGCGCACACGACATTCACTCAAGCAGCAAGGTTGGATTGAGTGCTCGCAAGAAGGCACAGGGCTTATCGAGGCCGAGACTCAGGCGTGGATGACGGGGCCACAGAAGACGCTCGTCGACGTGTTCTCCGCGCTAAACGTGGCCTGGCTCGTGATACTGCTGGTGTTCTACTACCTGCAGTCCATCATGAGGGGGATCTCTCTGGTCGTGAAGGTGTGTTGGTCGTGCTGCTGCTGCTGCTGCTGCTGCTGCTGCTGCTGGCCCTGCTCTGGTTGTTGCTGTTGCGATGTGGGCAATGGTTATGGTGGTTTGCTGCTGCTTTTGGAAGCCGGAAGTGCTGGGGCAAACGGACCCAACGCCTAACTTTTGTGGAACTTGAGCCGAAATCAAACCATTAGACTAGTCAGCGCCGACTGGTCTGATGGTTTGATTTTGGCCTTCCATATGCTGCGTTTGTTTTTGCTGTTGTGCGTCGCCGGTGCGATTAATGTTGTTGTTGGTTGTGCTGCTGCTGCTGCTGCTGCTGCTGCTGCTGCCGTTGTTGACGCATATCGTTCAAAGTTTTGGGGGGCTCTATCCGTGTCTCGATGGTGCAAGAAAGCCAGCTGGTGTAACAGGCCGCTTTTCATTTCTCCGTATTTTGCCCGTTTCGTGTAGTGGGCTCCCGCTCTCTACCACCCTCGTTCATCCAATGCGTCCTGTTGTAGTTCATGTTGTTGCTGCTGCTGTTGTTGTTGTCCTCGTCAATAGGCTCACTCTCTCGTCACAAACCGTGTGCTTTCGCCGTTGTTGGTGTTGTTTGTTGTACGCGTCGAAAACAACCATCCTCTCACCCACTCCCCTGCCGTTTTCGCCTTTCCCTCCGCGGATAACAAAATGGAACACGCAGGGGGCCCCGCGAAAGCTCAGGTCGAGGCAGCACATGCCTTTCAGTCAGCTCACCAGCAGGTTAGTGAAGGGGAGCTGAGTTCTTGAGGAAATTGATCAGGGAAGGAGTACGCAGTTCCTAGTCCCAATCCCAACCCTAACCCAGCTTCCCAGCTGTATGGTCTTATTCAACATGTTAACCTAGTCGAAAAAACGTGCGAAGGGTGCTGTAGCGAAGGAGTGTGGACGCGTAGGGCGGGGGGGAGGTTACGATCGAAAATGGTAGTTGTGTGCCGAAAAGACGACGATGTTACCGTTGGCGATGCGATGGACGTGAAGGAAATCTACCTCGAGAAGAATGGAGGGACGTATCCACGGAATTGTGATCGGCTACATAAGGTGCGGGGGTGCGTGTCCAACAAGGCGGCGATCTTCAAATGCTCCCCCCACCCACCCCTCGCATAACTTGGAGGTTGCCTCGTTTTGCATGCTTATGATGAAGACACACACGGCTTTGGTGAACGATTCGAACGTTATCCCTCACACCATCGGCCCCGCTGTCGCCTTCCCCCCCACGGTTGCCTATGGCGATGATGGTCATTGCCATTTTTCCTTGCCTTGTCTTGTCCAGGTATCAGCACGATGTCGATGCCTACGTACCCCAGATCAAGTCCTCGCACCAGCCCCTGCCGCTGCTGGCGTGCGACCTCGACTATGTGGAGCCGGAAACCATCCCGTGGCAGGTGATGTCCAAGTTTCTTTTCTGGGTGATGTTGAGGTGCTGTGGTTGCCATGGTGGCGAGGGTGTTGGTTGTGGGTACAGTAGTACCGTCGCGGGTGGGGTCGCTTCCGCTGCTGTGACGCAACATTGTTGTGGGCGTTAATTGTGCGTGTGATGGCAGGGTCGCCGGTAGCACCCACCCACCATCTTAGTCATGCCGCGACGTTTTTTTGTCCTGTTACGCACGCAACAACGACGACGACGACGATGCGCCATACATGAAAACAGGTGGACGGGCACAAGGGCGACAGCTTCGAGGACTACTGCCTCAGCAGCTCGAGGGACATGCCGCGGACGTCGCGCTACCAGCGCGCCCGGCTCTTCAGCCTCTGCGTGCACTACCCTCCGCCGGCCCCCTTCGAGGCCATCGGCAACGGGTGAGTGTGGCCGAGCTTCGGGCCAACCTTTCTAGGCGATAGGACGGGGCAGCAAGAGTGATCGGGTGCTTATTTTTTTGGGTTCGATTGTGTTCTGCCGAGCAAGGTGAAGGAAGCGAAGGCAAGCATGGTGCAGGGGCCGTGTGCTCATATTTTACATTCCTTTTAGGTATTGGACCATTTTGACCACGCGTGACGACGCGAAGCAATGTCAAGCTGGGGGAAGGAGGCTCACTAATGCTTTGCGTTCCTCAGACCATCGTGACCACGCGTCCCCGAGAGGGCGGACGAAGCATGGGAGACTGGTGCTTTTCGGTTGGATTGATTTGAGACGCGAGGCTATGTAGCGGACGCAAAGAAAGCGGATTGGGGGGGGCGGGGGCGGCACTGGTTCGGTTAGATTTTGCACCCTTGCTGGTTAGGTTTTGGGCCAGACCTACCATGAAGTAGTAGTACATCGTCAGTCGGTGAGTTATTGGTTGAGATCTCCGTCGTCCATCGTTTCACGAGAGAGTCCCCCTTCCCCTCCCCACCGCCCGCACCTCTAACGCCACGTTGAGAACGAACCGTTGCCTCGCCCTGTCTATTCGCGTTCCAGGCGAGTATCAAAGACGGATATCGACTGGTTCCGCAGGCCACCGCTCCCAGGACTGCAGGAGACCAAAATTCCGGAGATAGGAGAGGTGAGCACCCCCCCCGCCCTCAATCGTTGTACCTGGTGGCGGCGATGGTTGTGTGTCTGGTGTTGTTGCCCTGTAATTGTACTTGGCTGGTGGCGATGGGTGTTTCGATTTGCGGAAACGAGGGTACCCAGATACCATACCCTCGATTATCGCTGTTGCCGTTTGTTGCCGCCGCCGTTCCTTGGTGGTGGTGTCATCGTCGTAATTGACGGTGTGGATTTCGTTGATTCCGTCATCGTGTTCCGATGCTGACGCTGCGCGCACCGCTATATCGAAGGCATTTTTTTTTTTCCCCTCTTCCGGCAACACGTTTCGAGCGCTGCGAACATTTATCTTTTATTTTTTTCAGGAACGTTTCGAGCGCTGCTGACGTTTCTCTGTTTTTTTTTCTTGTTCCATGCTTTGTGTACCCCCCTTTCTCATTGGTTTGTGTGTTGTTGGTGTCCCTGCCTGCCGGGGTGTGGGCTTCCTCTCGAGCAGGCGAGTCGGCGGCTGCAGCAGCAGCCGCCACCGCAGCAGCAGCAGCAGCAGCAGAGGGGGTTGCGGCAACGCGGCAACGATGACGCGGTCAACATGGGATCCATGCCCGGTCTCGTCGACCAGGATTACGCCAGCGTGAGTTGTAGATTGTAACGGTTGTTTGCTGTTGGGTCCCACGGGGAAGACGTGTATTCTGACCTTTTTGGATTTGCAACAGTCAGGTGGTGGTTGTGCGGGCCTGAACGCGTTGGTTGCCATCTCTGTATAAGTACGACAATGGGCTGGTTGTGCTGGCTGAACGCTTGCCACCTGAAAGAATTGGCTGGTCGTGAGAGAGTCGTTCTTCGTCGGATGTTGGTTGCTGCTGCCCGCGATGAAAATGATTTGATAGCGGCAGCAAACGATCGGCGTGACGTTGGCCGACGGGATGTGTATGAAAACATGGAAGACCAAGCGACAGCACGACAATGAGCAAAACCAAGCTCACACGGTGTTTTTCGCCCATACCCCCCCGCCAAAAAACTCCAAACGTGTTCTACGCGGCAGCAACACCCGCGGTCGCAGGCGCGTGACCTTGACGGGAGCTACACCACAAACGAACGCCAAACAAGTGCACGACGACAAAGTGTTAAGTCAACCTCACAGGGCGGTGTTTACCCTACCCGCCCTACCCCCTCCCCATCCGAAACGCCCGCGTCCACGCGGCTGCGGCACCCGCGGTCGCAGTCGCGTGACCTTGACGGGAGTTTACCGACGAACGAACTTGAAACAAGTGCACGACAACAACAAGCGAAACCAAGTTCAAACGGCGGTGTTTCCCCCACACGCCCTGCCCCTTCCCCAACCGAAACACTCGTGCCCACGGGGCAGCAGCAGCAGCAACACCCGCAGTCGCAGGCGATTGACTTCGGCGGGGGCTGCACCTCGAAAGTACACGAAACAAGTGCCCCGCAAGCGAAACCAACCTCGTTCGGCGTTTCCCTTACGCGCCGTACCCCGCCCCATACCCAAACACACGCGCCCGCGCTGCGGCAGCATCAGCATCAGCACCCGCTGTCGGAGGCGCCGGGCGTTGACGGCAGGCACGCGACGAATGAACACGAAACAACTGCTCCACAAGCGAAACCAAACGGCGGTTTTTTCCCCATCCCTCCCGACCAAAAATCCCCGCAGCAACACCCGCAGTCGCAGGCGCCGCTGGACAGCAACGGCCCGCAGCAGAGCATCTACCGCAGCAGCGTGGCCTCCGCGGAGGGGGAGAGGGTCCCCATGCTGCCGGGCGGGGCGCAGTCCTCTCTTGTTTCCACCGCGATCGTCGCCGCCGACGCGATGAGGGTGAGAGAGACGCGGGTGAGAGGGGAGGAAGAGGACGACGGGAGCGGCGGGGTCGGCGGAGGCGGCGGCAGTTCCGCGGGAAAAACCATGGATGCTTCCGCGGAAGGGGCGGCCGCGGAGGGGGATTTCGGGGACGGGTGAGGAAGAAGTTTTTTTTGTGCTTGTTGAATGTATGTTGTGTGTCTTGTTCTGCCGTGTGATCGTTTTCGTGGGGTGGCGCTTGCCTGTGAAGTACATAGCAACAAGCATTAACTGCTCCTGATCCATCCTCATGTATTTCCCACGCACGTACTCGTTCTGTGGCTACATACCTCCCCCACAATCCAACGGCGTTGCTCATTCCGCAACCGACCCGGTTTATGCCTTTGCTGCTGCTGCCGCCCGCAACAAACCCAAACCCTTGCCGCAGCGACATGGTCTCGGGACTCTCGGACCGATCCGGACGGTCCACCCTTCAGCGGTCGCGAGACCAGGGCGACCAAGCGTCGGACATCCACCCGGGCGAGGGCGCCGACGAGTACGCCATCCGGCAGTCCGGTAGCGGCAACCGGCCCACCCGTTTCTCGAACGGGATGGCGAACGGCACCGGCGGCGTTGGCGGAGCCGGGGGCGCCGCCGCTACGGCCGCGAACGATGGCTCCGGCGGCGCGAGAGGGGGGGGCAGGGAGGAAGACATAGACATGCCGGAACTGGCGACGCCGAGAGACGGGGAGGACGGGGACATGTCGTTCTACGACGGCAACTCGCGGCTTGAGGAGGAGGTGTTGGACAACTTCGCGGACATCCCGACTCCGGCACCGAGGGGAGCGGGGGCCCGCGGCAGCGAGGCCGTGGCCGGCGCCGACGGCAGAACCTTCCGCACCCAGAGGAGCAATAGCTCGGAGGGGTGGGTGGACCAGTACACGAGCAGCTCGCTGGTGGTGTCGAAGGCGGCACCGTCGAAGAGCTCGCAGCAGCAGCAGCAGCAGGTGACAGCTGAGGCGGCGAGAGGCGGCGAGAGTTAATTCACCGGGTCCTAATGCCCTTTTTACTACTCGTGGTGTTCTTGTCGCGTCACTTGCTTTTTGAAGCCCGGCTTCTTTCGTCTTGTTTTTTTTCAAAGAAAAGCAAGACAACAAACACAGCTTTGTTTTAGTTGTGGTTTGTTCTGTTTGGGCTGAACGATTAAACAGGGCGCGTGCGCGTGTGCATATGGTGTGTGGTGTGGCTGCGGGGGAGAAAGCTTGTAGTGGGGGGAGAGGGGGGGAACATTCCTCTCGCTGCAGGGGAGCGATGGCGTAGGGGGTGCGGACGGGGGGTACGCAGTGCACTGGTTGTTTGCTGTCGTCTATTCGTTTTGGAAGGATTCAAGATTGCTAGATCGGTATCCACCAATTTTTTTTAGCTGTGCGTTCATTATGGCGGGAAGCGATTTGGTATTCCGCGGCTGGGATAGAGCGCATAACACTAGCGGGGATATACTTGAGGGGTCAGCCGTGAAGACCACTCGTGTCGCTTTCCTTTTTCTCGCTGCAGCGGCTGTGGAAAAGTTGGGGGCTTCGTGGATCTGTCGGTAGAGCGGGATCCCCCCCTTTTTGTGCTCTGTTCTTGCCGGCTGCGGTTGGTACAGACATGTGCCTTTGCCCTGTGTAGCAGCAGCAGCAGCAGCAGCAGCAGCAGCAAGCGCCCCTCTCGTGCTAAACCCGTCGGCAAGGGATGTCTTCGTGGGTGGGTGGGTGTTGGCACATACGCGGGGATGCTCAAAGATCGGTTTGCTATTGTGTTGGATCTCGGCGGTTTGGTTTCGTGGCAAACACGGCTGCTGCTGCAGACCCGGGAAGTTGTGTCCCGAGGAATCGAGCTTTTGTTGCGTCGGCTGTGGAACAATCCGATCCAACGACCATGACTGGTCTTGCTCCCCCACCGCCCCCGTCACGAAGGTTTGATTCGTCTTCGGGTTTGAGGCGCATGACCTGTCCGCTTTGCCCGTGCTGGGGTGGTACGGCAACGGACGCGTGGGCGAACGGCCATTTTTTTGCGTTGTGTTTGTTTTGGGCCAGACTACCTCGGGCAGTCGGAGATTGTGTGACGACCGCGAGCTGTTCTCGGCACCAGCATTGCGGTTGTTGGAGAGCGCGAGGACTTGTCTTTTTCGGAGGGAGGGAAGGACGGGAGGGGGGAGGGGGTATGGTCAAAGTGTGTTGGTTGTTAACGCGCGCACGCGCGTGTGTGGTAAAGCTGAGCGAGAGTGACCTCTGTGAACTGCCCCCCATGTACCTGCTTATTTTTGTGTGCCGTCCATGGTTTTTTGTTTGTCGCGGTTTGTTTAGTTTCCTTTTGCCATTCTTGCCGTCGGATTTGTCTACTACAACACTACTCTCGTTTTGTTTTTCAGGGCTGTTTTTGCTTGCCTCTCTTGTTTGAAGTCGCGCGCGCGTGTTTGGCGTCGTCGCCGTGAGACACTTGTCGCGATTGCTTCTACCGAGACTTTTAACCAGGGTCCGAAGCACGGGGAAATGGCCTGAAAGACGGCAGTCACTCTGGCGGGTTGCATCAGAGGTGGCGTGGGTTTTCGTCTTGCGAGGCTAAGCGGGCATGCACGGCCTATCTATGTAGTATGAGCGAGCAGAACCGGTTACATTTTAACGAGGGAAGGAAATATTTTATGTGAGTTGCCCCGTCTTGAGACGGGGATAGATTTGGTGTTTGGTTGTGGACCTGGATGGCCGGGTGTTGTTAATTTCTTGTTTTGCATTTGTCGCCGGGGTCTTGTGCGTTAAGTACCCGTCCGCCGCTCTCCCGCTCTCTCGTCTTTAGTTCGTCGTAGCAATGTTGCGGCGATCTGTAGCTTGACAATCGAAGCTACTAGACACGGTTGAGAGTCGCGAGAAAGAAGAGTTTTTTTTTTTTTGCCGTGCTTGCAACTGGGCTCCGTAGATTGCAAGCGGTAGCAGGTTGTGTCCCTGGCCAAAAGTGTCTGATTCGTCGGGTGCACCGTGAGGTTCATGTTTCTTTCCGTATTTTTTAGGCCTCGGGGAGCACGTGGCGTTGTGGTTGTAGTAGGTAAGCAATGCGCCCCCTCCGTGTGGGAGCTTACCAAAACTGGCCCGCCCAGTAGGTTGCTGGGTTGTTGTAAACACTAATTAGTTACTAACCGATTTGGCCAACGAAAAGCTTTTCTTGTGTGTCAACGCTAACCTATCTATTCGTTGTTTTTTGTTGTTGCTCGACAATTAACCGCGCGTCCTCCAAAGGACGGAGCAGCATTGTTCCCCCAGGAGGACCGATCACCAATGATGGCCAATCATCGTTTCTATCTACCTCGTGCCATCCTACCTGTCCCTTCCTATCGGTTTCATTTCGTCTCCCTGCAGTACTTGTTCCTCCTGTGCCTTTTCAGCCCACCTCCCATTGCCCCGAGTAGGCTACCTTCCGTTCTCTCCAACCTTTCTTTGTAGTAGCCTTCTTGCTGTTAACCATGTTGCCTCCCAAGGTTTGTTTCTCAGCAACCTTCCCCTCCAGTAATTGACTAGAGTAAACCGGCCAATTAACGAACGCTTAAGCCACCCCTCGCGCCAACAGCTCGTTCTCGGGCATGAAGAGGAGTATGATGTATTTGTGGGTACCGGACGATAGCTTGTATTATAGGCTACCTCCCTAAAAAAAAAAAAAAATCGTTCGTGTCAACGAGATAGAGCTGATGCAGTGCATTCCATTGTTTA